TGCGAAAGCAGCTCGATCGTGAAACAACAGAGATGTATTCTTTGATCGTGCAAGCCACAGATCAAGGCACGCCTAGCTTATCGACCACAGCAACAGTTAACGTAACAGTGCTTGACGTCAACGATAACGCACCGCTTTGTAACCACTTCTCTTACGTCATTGAGATGGCGGAGAACTTCACGGTCAATGGTACGGTGGTGAGCCTACAGTGTAGTGACGCTGACCAGGGACAAAACGCAGTTATCACGTACAACATATCCTCAGGTAACGCCATAACAAAACATGTAGTTGAGTGATTTTTGTAAAGCTTTTTTCATGCAGCTGCTACAGTTAATCACGGTACTTCCAGTCGGCATTCACTAAAATCAGAGTCGTTGTTTTCCAGGAAACACAAACTCTACATTTGTTGTAGATTCCACCACAGGAATCCTATCTTTGTCCAGCGCCCTCAACAGGGAGTCACAGACATACTACGACTTGATCATTGCTGTCACAGACAACGGTTCTCCGCAACTTTCTTCTGAAGTGCCAATTTACATCATCGTCACTGCTATCAATGAATACACCCCAACATTTACACAAAATGGCTTCTACAACTTGTCCGTGACCGAGAATACCCTTGTGGGTACAACGTTGTTAACAGTGCAGGCTCAAGACGGAGACAGCGGAGTTCAAGGTCTCGTGTCCTACTCTATAACAAGCGGCAACAAGGATAACAGTTTCCTACTTGATAGCAGCGATGGGACTTTGACCCTTAGGAGGCCACTGGACCACGAGGTGCTTTCTCGGTACAGCTTAACGGTGCGCGCATCCGACAACGCTCCCGCGCCCCTAACAAAATGGAGCCTGGCGATCGTGAACATAAGTGTTATGGACCTCAATGATAACGCCCCCTCGTGCACACAGAGCGCTGAGGTGGTTACTTTGTTGGAGTCTACCGTTGTTGGGACAGTTGTGTTTACAGCTAATTGTACAGATATAGACTCTGCTTCGCTTCTGTCCTATCAGATAGCGCAAGGAAATAGCAAAGGCAAATTCAACGTGTCCTCCACGGGCGAAATGAGACTCAATAAGTCACTTAACATCGAGGAAGAATCGCTTTTCAGTCTTCTGCTGACTGTTACTGACTCCGGCTCGCCTGTGAAGGACACTAATATCTCGGTGACTGTTAGTGTTCTCCCGATCAATGAGCATGCGCCCATGTTTATTGCCGATGACCAGCTCTACCAGATTGACATCTTGGAGAACATTACCTTAGGTAAGGAAAAAGTCGTATAATATTTTATTATATTTTCAAGCAACATCAAGGGAAATATAAGTAACTTCTCACTGAGTTAACTGCAAGAGGGGCATTTAAATGCTCACAGGAAGGTTAGAGTTATAGTAAAGAGATGTTTAGACGATCTGGTCTAAGCGCAACAGATTTGAGGAGAGACTGACCGAAGTCACTAAGGTAACAGATACAAGGGAAAACGAGGGAATTGTGTTCTTGGAGCGTTCAATACTACTAGGTAACGACTGGGAGAGGGCAGAATATATCTTTCCTGCAAATGATCGTGAACATAAAATGTTGAGGATTTTAGAGTGAGATCAAAGATTGAGCAGTGGAATGAAATGAACGATCGAAAATTAAAAGGTGATAGTAATAAGATATTATATATTAGCTCAAGATTTTATCGGCAGTCAGTAGTAATATTTTGACGTTTCCCTTCCAAGGAACCGTCGTGTTTCATGCACAAGTCACGGACAATGACACCGGAATCCACGGGGACCTGCGGTACATTCTTGTCAGCGGCAATGACAATAACAAATTCTACTTGGACGAGGTGGCGGGGAGACTGGTGCTCATCTCGAGCCTTGATAGAGAGACCACTGACCAGTATAACATCAGTCTCAGGGTAGAGGACAGTGCTCTAGGTTCCCCGGATGTCAAATATTCAAACGTGACGCTGTACATTTCGGTTGAAGACGTCAATGATAATCCACCTGTGTGTACAACAACTTTATTTGCTGAGGAAATCTTGGAGGGTAAGTAAAAGGCCTAGACTTTAAACCTAGATGGAGGTCACCGGAATAAAATTAATTATGGACCTCTGGAACAGTAGGAGTTATCTGCAGGACCTCTTCTACTCACTAGCGCAAGTAAGAGATTTGAAGCCGCAACTACTCAATTACTGCGAAAATAACTGCAACTAAAAAACAACTTAATCAAGAACTGCCACGCCAGAAAACAGCTCGCATTACTGAAACAACAACAACAAGCAAGCAAACAAACAAACAAA